AACTTCTCTTCTCCTCTCTCTCTCTCTCTCTCTCTCTCTCTCTCTCTCTCTCTCTCTCTCTTCCTCTTTCCCTCGGGCCATTGAATCGCGTCTTTCTCTCCTCTTCTCTCTCGCTCTTCTTCTCTTTTCCATTCCCCGACTGGCGGACTCGCTGCGGATTGGTTCGGGGTTCGGGTGGAACCAAAGAGCTTGTTAATGGGTTCATTTGGATTCGATCATCGCCTTACCTTTCCCATCCACCGGATGGTAGTACGTCTCCCTCGCTCGTCCACGTTTTATCTCGTCTTCGCTGATTTACTCGTTCTCGTACCCCGTCTCGTTCCAATCTTTACTCTCTATCGAGCGTTACCGAGCGGTCTTCTCATCCGCCATCGCTTACGTAGAAATGAATGGAATAAGAAGAGGTGGGATGAATCGCAGAGAGCAAGCGATGACGCGAAGGAAGGTTAGGCGATCGTTAAAAATGTTGATTGGAAAATTAATTCGACGTATTTGTCAAAATCGCAAAGATGAATGAGATTCATGAGATTAAAATTTTAGGATTCGATAAAAATGTTACGGTTACGACGAATCCAGAATAAGTCTAACTAGACGTTTAATGATAGTTTAATAGATATTTCGCATTCTTACAGGATATTTTTGAAATTCAATTTATATCCACGTTCATCACGTTTTCACAGAAAATATGCCTGACGTACGTATCATATAATTAGAATGATTCTTTCTTATAATTTTTTAAACTTTTATATTTTCATAACTTTATAGAAAAATCTTATGGATTGAAAAAAAGGAATTTCCATTTATACATGGCGATTCAATACATCGATTACAATTTCCTTGCCTTTCAGTGCCACTGACCAACTTGGTTCTCACTCTCTCTCAATACCGATTACGTCATCGTCTTTCAATTGCAGAATAAAGAACATCCTCCTCAGTTCACTATTCACTTCTCTCCTCCGCCTACCATCCAGAATCGGGTGAAAAAGAGGAAACTTCTTGTCCAACGAGTTTTTCAGCACTTTCCTAAACGACGCAGCGTTCGTTAAGACATTTTTAATCAGCAGAAGAGCGTTGAAGAGGCGGTAGGGGAAACGGTAGGGCAAGAAAGAACGTTCGCGGAATCGCTGATCTTTCTATTTCAACGGCTGCAACAAACCCTCCTGATCTTATTAAGAACACTACTGTTCGTAATCTCCTTCCTTCCAGGAATAAGGGAAACGGAGAAAGGAGGATGCGAGGAAGAAAGTATACTGAAATCGCGCGGATCTCCAGGGGCGATTTCCGCGATCTCTTATATCACTTTTTATCATCTTTCGGCCCTTAGCCGCGGCGATTATCACCTCGAGGATGAATCCTCGAGTATCGCGTTCCTCGAGACCCCGAGACGGCGGCGGCGGCGGCTTGATGAGATTTTCATAGAAACGCCGGTTGATTATTCGAATGCAACGTGCGAATTCGCGCGATTGCGAATTCATATGGTGATGCAACCGCCGGCGCGGTATAACTTCGGCGGAGCCGCGCGCGGAGATTTTCTCGAATATTAAAGTTTTCGTGCCGAAAATGAAGTTTGGACGACGCGGTCGGGCGGATGCAAATGAAATCAGCCGCCGCGAGATGAGTTCCTTTATCCCGAAGAAACGGCTGCGACCAAAAGAAAGTACCAAGCTACAACGTATGATCTTGCGTTCGTTACACCTCACGATGAAGTTGGAAGATAATTTTTTCGAGATAATCGTAATTAAATTTTTATTTGGTAGTCTTTTTTAGGTCATAAGTATTACTTTTAGCAAAGAACGATTCGTCTTTCGTTCAGTCAAAGATACAGAAAAATTCATACGTTTATGGTACTATGCGAAGGAAAGAGATTGATTTTTTATTTAATATATCGAATGAGAATGTATTATATATTTGCTTAACTTCGTACTTTGTATGTTGAAACGTATAACAATGAAGCGTAAATTACGAAAAAATTACGAAATAAAACATTAATAGAATATTTAGTAGACCGCCAAACTTGCTTTGGATTCATACATAAATACGTAAAAAAGCACTTCTTCGAGCACACACACTTGATCTTTAAATAAAAAATTAAATAAGAAATATGAAATTTACCTTTTTGAAGTAACCACCGTGGAGTCTCATATGACCATTAAGGGCTGGTATGTTTTTAAATTTTCGATGGCACAGGTTGCATTCCACCGGTTTTGATTCCGTTTGGGTTTTATTGGAAGTTACAACCGTACCGGGAGAAGATGAATTTCCGGGAGATGGACTATTCTTTCCCACATTTCCGTTTCCCGGTGAGCCGACCTGCTGCTGTTGTTGTTGTTGCTGCTGTTGCTGTTGCTGCTGCTGCTGCGCCTGCTGTTGCGCTTGCTGCTGCTGCTGCTGCAAGCAAGAAATAGATTCGCTTTTTACACATAAAGAAAGATTTAGGAAAATGTTTAAATGTTTGCTATGTTGCAATTACAATGTCACAGAAGTCTCGAAATTAGTTTACATTGGATTTTAAATGATACATCACTTGATGAAAATTTGTCCGTTATTTATATATATATAAATTTAAATCGCAGTCATAATTACTGTTAAACAATAAAAAGAATACGATATATATGTCGCATATAATAGCTAAGATCTGCTCTATCTTATATTTCTATAAGAGAAGAATGTTTATAAAATATTCGCAACGTAACGACCTCATTAGTTCCGACGGTGGCACATAACGAGTAAAGACCAGAATAAGCGTAAGACCGAGAATAATTGAACAAAGGGAGAATTTCCTTTATGGTAGCTTCTTCCTTTATGGCGCGCCCTACATCTGGCTTGATGTCCCTTTTCCGAAGTCGCAGGAGATTTTTAGCGACAACGCACGAAGCTTTCCACCTTTCAATGTTTCTCCAGTTTCCCCATTCTTGTCGCAGATCGCTTCGCTTTTCGGGGAGTGGGAGGGGGGGGACGAAATTCTATCTGGGGAACGGAAGGGGAAGGGGGCGACAGTGTAGCACGCGTTACAACATTAATACGACTATGTAGCACACGAAAGTTGCCGTTCTCTGCCCGCCGGTTAAGCCCTCTCGAGGGCCGAGAACCATTCCTCTTCCACCTGCTGCGAAGCCTTGTATAAACTCGGCAACTTCGTAAGCGCGTAAGAGGGAATAGAGATGGGAGAATTGCTAACTACGGATCGGAGAACGTTGCACGCTCGCTGCACAATTTGCATCGCTTCCAGGCGATACGACGATCATCCGGGGACGCGGGATATCGCGCGCGCCAGATCCCGACTTCTATATTATAACTTCGCTCTTGTGTTTTAGCTGGGCGATCTTTGACGGTTCCTCTAAGCGTTGTACGCGTGATACACGATTCAGACCTTTATACCAATGATAGCGTATCAATTTCTACCAACAACGTCATATGCACATATCGTCATATTACAATTACCTCGCTTATGAATGGTCGGTGATTTTTCATAATAAAATTCTATCTTCGTAAATACAGATTTCATGTTTTATTTATAGTCGCTATTTGGACATTGTTTTAAAAGTGTATCAAGTAAATATTTAAAATTGTGCACTATTTTATATCTCGTATTTTTGCATTCATTAAGAAAAATTGTTGTAAAATTAAAATTATTGTAGCTACCTGTTGGAATTTATGGAGATTGATTTTAGATTTTCTTTTATATTATAAGAATATAAAATTTATGACAAATAGGTAAAAAATTTAAACGTCAAATTGACTCTCAAGATTCACATTCACTGGTCCATTTAAAATGAGTTTTTAGCTAAGTATCTCAGCAGAAGCGCCATGGTATTACTATAAATACGGATCTCAGAGACTCGGGATTACGTCGCGTGTGTATATTCTCTTTCCCGCTTTCGCATCGCTCACTGGGATAGCGTGTGCTCTCTTCACGCGGACTTACTTCCTCCACGCCTCCTTTTGCGGCGTGCAAAACTCCTGTCGTATAAGTTCGAGAATTGCTGCGAGAAGAGCGAAGTTGCGCTTCCTCTTCCATCAAGCCTCCCGGAAGAGTCGAGAATTCTAAGCTTAGTCATAAGTACATATTCGATGCTGCCGCGGGGCATGTCTGGATAAGGGCTTTGAAAATTTAATAACTGTAAGTAGATCCAATACTCGATATCCTGCGGAAGGAACTTAAAAGGTCGCGTGTTTAAAGCGCGGAAGCGATACGGCTAATATTTAGAACGCTTTGCATGTTGGATAATACGGTGATTCTTGCCGTCCTATTTGGCATTAAAATCACATTCACCGACATTATTAGCCGGTCAATCTCCCGTTTTCAAGACGTTCGCTCGCGTCCGGATCGTTTTTTCTCCTTTTCATCTGCAAATGAAGCCGCACGTAGTCACACACGTGCATCGTACGTGAGAAGCATTCAGCAGTGCAAAAGATCAAGAAGTCCACGTATACATCTGCGCGCTAGTCTTCATATTAAACTCTTCTCCATTCTTTAATAATAGCGGAACGTTGCTCGGTCTTAACTACCTCTTCTTAGTGAAAGCGATTTGCCGTCGCATTTGCTTCCTAGAAGAAGTCTTCTAACTTGACTCTACTGGCGCTATTAAAAATTCAGAAATGCGTTTTACCAACTTGCAGTATTGAATTACAATTTTAAAACTCTAGGCGGCCGGCACGCTATTATTTTTTTATAAAGAAAATGCGTCATTACAAGGACAATCTCTCGCCAGAATTTCTTATCAAAGAAAGGACTTCAAAATTTGTTGTTATACAGAATTATAAAAATTTCTTATAGAAAATTTTCTTATAGACGCACAGGAGTCTTTCATATCTTTTACGAATCTTTGTACCAAATATCGCGAGCTTAATATATAAATCATAATATCATAATATATCATCACTTAAGGGTCTTTTATCATTTAGAGAGAGAGAGAGAAAATGCCTTTCCGGCCAATAAACAAACGTGTTTCGCGAAAGGAAGAATGGTAAAGCAGAGGGATACGTGAAAGAATAGCAGCAGGTGTTTTCATAAAGATAGACCACCCATGGCATGAGTCGCGTAATTGCACGAAAAGAAATGCAGGGCGTCGCGACGGTAATCAAGGGACGCTCTGTGTGGTCGTATCTTTTCATTGGATGCGTTTTTTTGCGTGATGTCGTTGATGGATACGCGTTCATTCCGTTGTCCGGTCAAGAAAAAACGTCGAATTGTGAAAAAGCTTTCAACACGCGTAAATGGGTGTAGGTTTACGGATGAGAGCACCGGATGATCGACGTTACTGTACAATCGCCGTGGGGGAAGTACGATCGATTCGCAAGCGAAATGCGTATTAGTTATTTAACAACTCTGACGGATTGCACATGCCGTTTATTTAAGAAATGTTTGTTGCGAAATAAATTGCAATATTGAATTCTCCGTTTAATCGTCCGTGTTTTTTTTAACATTAACAATGTATGTATTATAAGCATTCTTATATTCTGGAGTATCGTGACGTAATGCAATTGAGTTTGGTTTAAGCTAACAATTGAGTATTAACTTTATCAAGTTTAAATATAAGCTCTAATGTATGTTTATGCTTCAAACATTAACGAGATTAAAGCAGTAAAGAGATAATGGATAACCTCTGCACTCGCATAGATTAAATTATTTTTCTTTCCTTCGTTTATTATTAAAACGCGCAATTTACTGATATCGGTGATAATCGCGGCTTCGATGTGCACCGATATGCAGCATCCGCGAATGAGTTTAACTTAAAACTAAGCTGTACCAGAGCAGCACCTAAATTGGTTTAATTCGCACATCAACGAGCGCGATACCCATCGAACCAGCTGATATTTCGCTCGTCATCGCTCGAAGCACATCGTTGATAGATCACGAGATAGTTATCGATCCTTCGCGCGTCTCTCGCGGCCAACCGTCTTCATCTTTCACGATACCGAAGTACTCGATCGCGTCAGATATCTCATCAATTTCTACAAACAATCTTCGATCCCAACGAGATCCTGAATTTCCTTCGAAGTGAGAAGAAGTGAGACGAAAGCACGGGAAGCTCCCGTGCTTTCGTCTCGTGTTAGGGCACGGCATCCATTCGCCAAGATATTTTCCGACACAAATGAAATTCGAGCGATTCCCATGATAATAAAAACGAGAATGCACGAATTAAAAATATAAAAGGTTTTGTTATATTTTAAAATTAAAAATTTTGTTCCGATAAAACATCGATCAATGTTACACTCATCGTGCCTCTCCATTCATCTCGATAGAATGGACGTTAATTAATCCACGTGTCTATAATTATATATCACTCACATCTTTTATTTCTAGCACAAATTAAAAGTCGATATATAACTATAAATGGCGTGTAAAAAATGCCTGTGGTTTGCTTCCTCTCAATTTTCCACACTTGAGTCGAATAACGTAATTCAATTATTCCGAGATTAATATGGAAAGCACGTTGAAAATGCAAAAAATCTCTGACAAGTCCGCGATCATACAATACGCATTTCCTTTGCGTTCGTCATTAGCTTTACCTCGATAGTTTAGTCGACGTAATTGTCCCAAGAAGTGCGAGGAACGTCGTTTCTTCTCCCCCTTCTACTTCAAGAGGCATTGTAGCGCCGCTTTCCTCAGCAACGACTTAACCCGTTTAAGTACGACTGGGGTAAAATTACGGCTCGTTTCCGGGCCGGTGGTCCACATAGCAAACGGAAATTCGATGATTCCATCGTCCTCAAGACTCAGTTTATATGACATTTAAGGTTTGACAGAAGGGAGAAGAGAGCCATAAAAAATTCATCGTCGATTAATTATACACTACAAATTGGGCGAAAATATACGAAGTGAATAATATAAAAATCAAGCATTAAATTGAAGGTATAACAGTATAAATTAATAATAAGTAACGCAGAGTATAAAACTCGATTTTAGGAAAGGTAAAAAATGAGCGTGAACTTGGCGATGAAACACCATCTGTATCTATCGAGAATATTGGTTGCGTGCTTTTAAAATATCAAGTTACGATAACAATCAATAAAATAGATAAATTGGGAAAAAAATATAAAATAGCAATTATGTAAAATAGCACTTTAACCATTAATAATAAATAAATCATATAATATACATCGGAAGGACTCTAGGCATTTATACGAGAGAGTGCGGGAACGATCTAAGTGCTGGTGAATTGCACGGGTGGGTCGTTACTAGCGGCTTGCTCCTTGAGCCGTTATCTTGGCTGGTCCTGGCATGTATGATTAAATTAGAACAATGCCGGCATAACTCGCCTAGCATGCTCATCCCCTTCCACTGCAGTCAGTCACTGCAGCCTGTGCCGGTTTACCACTTACTAGTAGATGTTAGTAGTTCAGAAACTCTCTGTATGTA